GACTTGTAGCTACCAATGAGGGAGAATCCTTCGAGGCGACTTTTAAATAATGCTGAATAAAGGAGCTGAGAGTTGAGGGAAAGGATTTAATAGTAAGAAAGAGACTGAGGTGGAAACAAAAATAATTGAAAAGAATGATAAGATCAAAATAGAAAGAGAGAATGAGGGCTAAGAGCAAGAGGAGGGGAAGACTTGGAGAGCCAGAGAGAGTGTGAAACAGAATGATGAAAGCTAAGCTGTGCCCTACCCCGGAGGCAACTGTGCTACAAACACACACACTTGCAGTATAGACCCGGTGTGCAGACAACATATGAGGCCATCTGCCAAACACTATTAGGCCTTCGAAAACACGACTGGGGGAGGACACCTGTGAGAAAGAAAGATTTGACACAAGAGATGGAGGAGAGGACACTCATGGGTTCAATTGCAGATTTTTCACATCTCCATCGGAAACCTTTTCTGTGTCTTTATGGGCCGATGCACCTGGATAGCGGCACCTTTTAGACAGCACTTAAAGAGGGCTGCTTTGGTCATTGATTTATCTGGGCTTTACAGCCGCAGTCCATAGCTCTGTAGGGAAACACACACAGGTGCTACCTCCAATATCAGCCACAAATCTGTAATCGTTTGCTTTTGCTCTGCAGTCACATTTGAGCGACTGCTAAGCCAAGTCGCCAATCGCTTCTGTGCCCCTCAGACAGTACAGTGTATGCTGATGATCCAAAAATACTGCATTATTGACTGAACGTTTTCATGTTTAATCTATTGTCCACTTAAATTAGAGCTTCTGAATATAGAACCTGTATTAAAATGGGCAGAATTCCTAAACGCTTTGCACTGGACTTCAAGCCTGGATGTCTGCGCTTCAATCACATTTTAATTTTTTGATATCAAATCCATTGTCCAAATACTTACAGGCCTAAATGTAAGATACTGTAAAGCCTTTGTATGTTGAGCAATGTGTTAGCAACTCTTTAACAGTAACATCTCAGCACATAGACACTGTGACAACATGTTAACATCACTTAACAACTGGAACTCACATCTGTGCCCATCTCTCATCTACAGTACTATAGATTATACTATAGATATAGCAAAAGCTCAAAATTGTAGTCTTTAGCAGTAAGGTCCCAGTAAACACCATGTCATTTCCAAATTGCAGTGCTCATGGAAATTATAAAGATCCATTATTTGCATTTTTAAAAAGTACCCTTTCTCGTCTATTAGATTTGGTTTTGATAATCAGGTATTCCTGTGCAATGAAGCACCAAATAATATTAACCTTCAGCTTTAGTCTGTCTTAAATCTTAAACATTTTTGTCAAGACCAGCAATTAACAAAACACAAATCCATAATACAGCACCTGCTGATGAATTATAAGTGTGGCAACAGCTATGGAGAGCCAAAAACAACAAAAAACTGAAAATGAGCACGTTCCATCTAGGAAAGCTGTCGCCTGTCAATATAGAGCAGAGGGAGAGCACTGCAACCTATAAGTACATTTAAATACAGCAAATGATTTAGTTTACTTTTATAAGTGGACAGATAACCGGTGAATAGGTAAAAAATGGTGCAACTTAACTGGTTTGGTGTTTGTCCGTCAGATACACAACAAAGCACATTTTTTTGTAGAACATGCAAGCGGCCGTCATTATTGTCGTATTTGTCGGACTAAGGTGCTCGTAAATCTGGGCGTAATCTGGGTCCTAAACTCTGTATTCTTCAGGTCAAACAACACTGCAGCATCACTGAGAGTTAAATATGGAATCAGAACGATGCCACCTTGAAACGAAACCGAAAAAAAATATTGAAACCGAAAAAAAATATTGTAACTGAAATTCAGTTACAATATTTTGTAACTGAAATTCAGTTACAATATTTTTTTCGGTTTCAATATTTTTTTTCGGTTTCGTTTCAAGGTGGCATCGTTCTGATTCCATAGTTAAAAACTGTCTAAATTCTTTCATCTTTAATAAAACGATCAGCATTGCTGCTTTATCAGGTGTAACTATGACGTTTAACATCCAGGCATCCACGAAAACAGAATTCATTACATTTAACGGAGTTAGAAGTTAGCAGGAAGTTAGCTCGCTAGTTTCGCTAGTTACCTAAGCATGATAAAGCATGTTCTGACTGAGAGATTTCTGAAAAAAATCAAACGTACAGCTCTGCTATCACTTCTAACATAAATGAAGACAGGAAGCTACACCACAGTGACGTTTGTAGGGTTACTGAAGTTGGGCTATCTGGTATATAATGATGTGCTACATGATCGCTAGCGACACAGCTATGTTAGCATAACATAAACTGTGAAGCTGGAGGATGAACGGTAACACTTTCCCCCTCGATAAAAGTTAACGTGAGGGTTCCTGATGGTTAGAGACAAATGCAATCGCATGGCAGGATGCTGTAAATGGACCAAACTTCAGTCAGGAGAACAACTGAGAAAATCCATCCACAATATGAGGTTAGTCATTAATATACTGCAACAACATGGGAATAGAGCATCTGTGATAGAATACAGCATTAATGAATCAATGATACAGAAGTGGAGGAAGAAAGAAGAATGAGTTGAATGAAGTTTGATTTATCTGAGTGTTTTGTTGCCTTATAATCCTGTGCACCTTATGGTCCAAAAAATACATATTTGACTTTTTTATTTGGCACACTGCAGTTTAATGTAGCAAAGCACCTCTTTTTAACTTCAGTGGATATTATACATGGTTATGCTCAGGATATGTCAGCCCATTTCTACTAGAGATGCCCTTTGGTTAAACTTTCAGCAAGGAATTTGCATTTGCACTGTTAAATGTTTATATAACTTTAATGCACATAAAAAAAAAAAACAGCTGCTTGTTTTAAGTGAAAATAAATGGATGGGGGTTTTTTTTGCGCTAGTAAAGTTGTGGAGTTGTATTTTGTCTCGCAGAAATTATATCGTTATCGCAAATTTTCAAATATATATCGTGATAAATATTTTTGGCCATATCGCCCTGCCCTAATAACTGTCATAACTTAGAAGTAGGTTTGCAGGAGACTGTCCACATGCTTAGCTGTAAAAGTAAGATGACAAGAGGCCAATGGCCACTTGTGGGGGTCTCAGTGGGGGTCTCAGTGCTTGTAATATGTTTTCTATGTTTTGCAGAGGAATTTGGTGTAGCTTGGGTGAGGGGAGATGGACTTTTATGACCGACAAGAAGTCACACACCCACACGCACACTCACTCACATACACACACAGGTACACACAAACACAGAATTTACAACACACTATGTGGGTTTTACGATGGGGTCGCTTCTATAAAACTGGTTGTAACAAACAAAGAAGTGAAGATCTGCAGAGGGACACCGGCCCTGTACATCTCCCCTTTAGAAAGTGCATGTGCAACTGAAGATGAATAAAGGTTTTGTGAAATGACTACTGAGTCCAGTGCAGTCTCTGGAGGCCTGAGGAATAAAAAAAGAACCGGGGTAAAACTGCTTTACGTAACATTTTCAACAAATATATATTTAAACTACAAAATAAGAAACTTTTATTTTCTTACAAGTGGTTGCTTGAGTTTTGAGACCACCAGACAACTTCTTACCCAGCAAACAATCCAAACTGATTATACAACCGGAAACAATCATTTGCAATCAGTGATCCTTCGCAGCCACGGACTGAGCGCAGATGTCAATTTGAAGCAAATCAAAATAATTTCAAAACTGATGCAGGAGAAACACTGTCAGAAAAAAAGTCAGGCGGTTGAAATAACGCCATGTAATCTGGGTGGTAACAGGCTGCTGACTGTCTACATACAAAATGAACAATGACAAGAAGATGGATGCTGAAACATCCCTTTGGACTTGAATTCATGGCAGCAAAATGCAGGCCAATAGGCTGCCTCTAGCCGGGATTTAAAAGAGGAAAAAAGAAAAAGCTCCAGCTTCGCAGCCGCAATTGTTTTGCAGAGTGTGATTAGACTTTCTCCTTGGAATCACAAGGCAATCAGGAAAAGGGGAGTGTACTGTGCCGTAGCCCATACAGCTGCTACTTTCTTGCTCATTTGGGAGTGTTCGGCATTCTCTCTGAATGGTAATTATGAAAGGAACAAAAAGGGGCCTTTGCAGACAAAGGCGGGTTTGGAGTGAATGGGCCCTGCTCCCATACGCCATGAGTGTTTTGACTCCAAGTGCTGTTTCATGGGAGACGATACGAGGCAATTATGCAGGAGAACTTGCAGGGGGTGAGAAAGGAAGAGGAGCACGGAGAGGGAGATACGCTGGGCCTGGCATAGAGAGCGGGACCAGATAGCACCATCTGCATTCTGCACGTGCACTGTCCGTCTGGCTTGCTGTTGCTTTCAATAAAAGCTGGAGCTCATGCAGACAGGCAACAGAAAAAGTATTCAAATATACAGTACAGAGGAGGACTCACTGGGCCGCACATACACCACACACCAATCCTGCACTTTACTGCAAGACATGGCACTGATTTAACTATGTTAACCAAAGCTGCCACAGTGAAAGGATATAATATCATAAGTGGTATTATACTGTTGGTCCCATGCTGGCAAACGCATACAATGGCACCTGCGTTTCTTAACACACCAACAAATCTCCATTTCCTGCAAATAAAATCTTTAGCAAAAACTAAGATAAGATGTATTTGCTTAAAATGGTAATATGTGATTAAAAGTGCAAATGTTTTGCAGCGCTGCTGTCAAAGAACTGAAAACAAGCACTAACTGTATGTAACAGCTGAGTCTAATAAGCTATGAATATGAAAACGAGCTCTTTCTTCTTGCTGCATTAACATAACCATATCAAAGCAAAAGGGCTTGAAATTGTTTTCATCTGAATTTCTAGATCACTGATGTGCACTTTAATTTTTTTTTCACCTTTCCTGCGTGGGAGGGCCATTTTTGTTTTTGCCCTCACTGGGGGGTTGACAAACAGAGATTGACTTCTTATTTAAAATGAATCAAATCAAGAAAAGCAAGAAGAGACTGATCACGTTACCTCTCTTATCTTGTCTCGTTTCTCTTTGACGTCGGGTTCTGGGGGCTCGCCGTCGCTCACGCCCACCACCTTAGGCATGGGTACCGGCGGCAACGGTTTGGGCCCTACGTCCTTCTTTTTCAGGTCCTCCATCACTTTGTTCTTCTCCGTCTGAATCTCGGCCTTGAGCTCCTCACGTGACTTTCGCAGCTTCTCCTTTGCCTCCTGCAGTGCTCGCTCGTGGTCTGCACGGATCTTATCCCGCAGGCTCTCCTCCTCTTCCCTACAGGAGGAAGGAATAAGATAAGCTTTACTTCTTTATGCTCTGCTTTGATTTCCATTAGACCTCACAAGTCGGTTGCTCATCCCCACAGTGAAATTAGAAGGGTTACTGTAACCATAGCTAACACGCACACAAAAAACATTTGGTGAAGAAAGGTGTACAGAGAGACTTGTGCTTGAAATTAATTAAAGATGGGCATTACAAACAAACTCTGATCCACTAGGAAGTTGATATTTCATTATTTTTGGAAAATAAAACTAAAATATTTACTGTTTACCTTTTTTACATTGATATTTAATAAACTATTGAATTTCTTTAGGTCAGCAGGTTGAGGATCACTGCAACAAACATCTGCAGGAAACCATTTTACTCAGATGATAATGAAAACACAAAAAAAAACATTTTCTCAGGAGAAACCTAACCCCAACCCCATTAATCTGCAGTTACATCAGCTCCAGGAAATGGGACAGGTGTGGAGGAACACAATGAGGAGACCAGCGATGGCAGAATGACAAACATCATCTGTGGTTCCACATGACGGTACAAACCCTAGGGGTGTTGACAAGGCTCTACCCCGCGAGGATGTGCTTCAGTAATGAAAAACAAACATAGTGGGGAGCTGAAGCAAAGGTGACAGGAGGCCGACGACACTTTGCTGCTCTTCTGTGGTCACTGAAGTAAGGAGAAACTGAAAGAATCTCTTTGAATCTCTCCCTGCCCTGATCCGGGTTTGCACAAATATAATTTCAGCCACATGTCAGCTGATACGCAGCAGAGGTTAGCTCTTTCAGCTGCTGACAAATGAAGACAAAATGAATGACCAGTTCAGCTGGAAATAACTAACCACCATTACATTTATGAATACAAAAGTATATTTCTTACATTTGAAATAACAAATTTCATTACAGTAAATTCTAGCTTAAAAACAGCTTTTTCCCTTTATATGCTACATTATTTGATTTTTATTTTACCAAATTACATGCTACTTATCAAATATGAAAGAGATCTGACCCATCTTTAAATCAAAACTAAAAAAAATATATATCTGCACATAGGACACACACTACAGACTCACTGCCTTGACACTTGTCTCTAATATTTTCATTACTCCTTGATGCACTGCTTTAGTTGTCAGTGTCCTAAATGCTTTTTAAAAAAAAAAAAAAAAAAAAAAAAAAAAAAAAACACAATAAATGAGGAATCTTCAAGCTTGCACTTCATCTGACTGCAAACACATGCGACTGTTTATTAATGACCTACAGTGTGATGCCTCAAAGGCATTTATTTCATTTATCTTTAATGTTTGCTTAAAGTAGTTCTTTTGTATGTATTTAAGTTAGAAAGAACAGTAAAAAGAGTTAAAAATGTTAAGAAGCTTTAATTTTGAAGGTGAACTTGCTAATAACCTCACTTCCTGGTGGGTTACCTGTATTGCTTCATTTCCTGTTTAATTGCTCTTCCTGGTTCTCTAAGAGGGAGAGTGACATGTGGTCTTGCTCTGAGGCTTATCCACAGCCATCCACTTGGGAACATTGTTCAGGCAACGCCGTAAGTGTATATATTTCACGAAGGTGTTAAAAAGGCATAAATAGTGGTATTTGTGAAAAATTATATTTTATTTGTGATTCATGGAGGTTGATTTGTACATGTTAAAAAAGGCAGTTTTGATGATCATTACTGTTGCTAAAGCTAACACGAAGGTGTAAGGTCACATTTTGAGTTATTTCGTGATGCAATATTTATGTAAACGATCATTTTTTCTATTCTGTATTTCTTTTCAACTACAGTTTTCACCGCTTGTCAAATGAAGATTCTGAGTAAAAAGTCAACTCTACTCGGACTCGTGTATTCATTGACAGAGGTTTAGCTTGGTGTTTGATCGGAGTTGCTACACTCTGCAACAGAACACTACATACAGTGTAACAAACACAGGAAATGTGGGAGGAACTGATAACCTGCTGAGCTCCATGTGGACTCAGCTGCAAGTCTCCCCGGAGTTACAGTTCAACATCTCTAAGAAGATGAGAAAAACAACTCACTGGGTGGGTGTGTGTGTGTGTGTGTGTGTGTGTGTGTGTGTGTGTGTGTGTGTGTGCCCATGTGTGTGTTTCCCTATCATTGAAACATGCATATTAAAAAAAATAAACCTCGAGCCTTCAACACTACACTATGTATTAGTTTAATTTCAAATAAAATCAATAATCCTGTAAAGTGCTGCAGCTATTCTACAATGACAACGTTACTTTACTTAAAAGCCTGGTGAACAGCGTTTAGCACAGAGGATGCCAAAGAATTTTCTTAAGTGTTTGTAGAATGATTTTTAGTGTTTTCTATATCAGCAGTTAGGCCATGAATACAAATAGGTCACGAACAAGAGAAAAATAAAAACCTAAATGTTCTATATGCGGTTTTGTTCTTGTAGACCTGCGTGTGCTCATTAATTTACTTATTTATTAACTTGTAATGTTTCAGCGTCCAGTTCTTAGCCTGTGTGGTTTCTTATTCGTTATCAATATCCGGTCATGACTTGGGTATTTTTCCCTCTGTTCAGGTGTTTTTCATGCACGTTTACATGCTGGCGTGTACATCCATTCTCAGCCTGAGACTAAAATTACTGCTAATCAGGAAAAGAAAGAAATGGTTAGCAGAGTGAGGTGTGAGACAGCCTGCATTAGAGCAGATGTCTTTATGTACACCTGGTTGATAAAAGGTGATGATATAACGCGAGCTAACTTCACAAAGAGAGGAAGCCTGTCCAGACCCACAAGAGCAATATAAGGAAAGAGAATAATGTTTAGGTTTTGCTCCTGTATGTAGGGTTGCCAACCGTCCCTTAAAAAACGGAATCGTCCCGTATTTAGAAACAAAAGTTCACGTCCCGTATTGAGCTAATAAGGGACGCACTTTGTCCCGTAATACAGTGAGAATCAAAAGTAGTCTATAACTTGCAATGGAATTAACACTTTGTTTGAAAACATAATTCCCAGCCCCTCTCCTGCTTTGTGACCAATGCGCTGACAGCACACTTATGACAATTCGAGTATGACAAGTCAGATTATCGCTTATCTCATTGGTCGAGGAAAGGTCGCTTACGGTGAAAATACCGGCCAACAGGGAAACAAACGCCGACACTGCGGTGCAAGTCTCGGACGGCACACTGTGCCTCCATAAAATGAAGGTTATAACAGAAAATCTGTCGCTCTCTCTCTCTGTCTGTCTTTCACTCACACAGACACGCACACCGCCACCATCAACTTTGCTAAATTGCTAATGAAAAACATTAATAAGGCAGCTGTGATTGAGCAACAGTGTAAATCCAACTATTTTCACGGTTGTTATGGTCGTGATAATTTTGTGATGCCACATCGAAAAGGCTCGGATGAGCTTTCCGAAGTTCTACAAGTTGTGCCTCCATCGCTTGTGTCCAGATCACACGCTGCACAGCCGTGCTGCTCCATCTTTTTCACCGACGTTTATGTGTTTGCGCGTGAGCAATGTGAGCGCCTGTGGTGACACCCTCACGAGCGATTGATGATCGGGAGCTGGTCGTGAGGTGTTAATCGCTTCTCGTTACCCCACGTATACTACACGACGCACGATGAAGGCCAAAATCGGGCCGATCACCAAATCGGTCGCACGACTCAAAAATCGGCTCAAAATGGGCCAAAAATCGCACAGTGTAAGCCCAGAATTAGAGCAGCAATGTTTGTTCGCTCAGAGAAAGAAAAAAAAGGCTGCAAAAGTACAGGGAGGAATGGGAAAAGGAAAACACCTGGCTGGAAAAGTGCACTATAAAGCGCACTGCACTGTGTGCCGGCGCACTTTTTCCATAGGCATGCTTCTAATGGTGGGCACATGAAGAACATGAGGGGCGTGAAAGCTCGGGGAACCCTTAACCAATTTTTTGTCCACCAGGCCACGGCAGAAGCAGATATGGTATGTAAACACTGGTTTGTTTTTTTTTAAACCCTCTGGTTAAGGTTATTATGGGCATCTGCAGTGAATATCAGCGCTATGTGGCCAGAAGTGTAATAATATAATTTATTTTGTGTAATAAACAACTGCAAGGATAGATGATTACAACAAATAGATGACTAATACATAAAAGTAATACATAGATGAATAATGATGATGAGTTATGATGCGTAATCATGGGAACAAGTGGGTTTACAAACAGGAGCAGCTGATTAGCTTTAGAAAAGCTGAAATAATACCTCAACTGAAGCCAATTATACTAAATGCACTAAATGTGCACTGTTACAAGAATATTTTTGTTCTATTGCTTTCTATTAATTTATATAATTTTAAGTTAAGCAGGACAGAGTTCTTTTAAAGAAAGATTTACTTATATTCTCAAAAGTTAAGCATGACAGGCTTCTGTTTAAGAAAGAGACCTGTTTTACTGTGTTAATGTTGTCATTTTGAGCTAAAAATAAATGGCTAAATGATCATTTGTTTCACATATGGTCATATCACAAAGAATATGCATCTGCTTAAATCAAGTTCAAGTCAAATAGTTAAAAAAATAATTTCACACACAAAAAAAGAGCTACCACACTGGGAAGGGTGAAGACAACTGGGTTGCCCAGCCCTGGCCACGAGGTGTCCCTTATTTATTTTTCAGGGAGTTGGCAACCCTACCTGTATGAGAGCCGCCATACTGAGAGCCGCCATACTGCATGAAGCCAGACTTCTGCTCCTTGTTTTGCATCCATACCAAAGATTTTAAAAGAACAGAAAAAAAGAAAAGAAAAAAACTACTGACAAGTGGTAGGGTTGCTTCATGGATGAGCTTAGGTTATTTCTAAGCATTAATCTCACACAGACACACAAATGTCACATTAGTCTGCTAAGGAGGCAAATGTCAGCAGTGCTAGCACCAGCAGCCTTTTTTCCTCCACCTGTGCAGAATGCAATGCCTAATGAGAAGTGCAGACAGTGGCTGACCGTTTTAACTGTTTTCAGCGTTAGGTTTCACTCCACTACAAAGGGATCCCCGT